CTAGAAAATACATTTTAGATCTCATATGCGCCTGGTTAGTACATATTTATAATCTCGTGTTCACCACTGGGCTGTTTCCTCAGAGAATAAAAAACGCTAAAGTAACGGTTATATATAAGGGTGGGGACAAAAGCAATTTAGGAAACTACATACCAATTTCGATTTTACCAGTTTTCTCTAAGGGGTGTGAAAAACTGATTTTCATTCTGTTATCAAATTTCTTTAATAAAGACAACATTATTACGCCGTCACAGTTCGGCTTTCAGTCAGGCCTCTCAACCGAAAGTGCCTTACTATACCAAAAAGAATTGATTCTAAGAAATGTAGAAGCAAAAAAACTTAACCTAGGAATAATTTTAGATTTCTCGAAAGCTTTCAATAGAATAAACCATGATATTTTGCTAGAAAAACTTCACTGTTATGGAGTTCGCGGTACCGTTTTAGCTTTAATAAGAAGCTACTTATCTAATAGGAAACAATGTGTATCAATCAATCGGGAGCTATCATCGTCCATGAACGTTAAGAATGGCGTACCTCAAGGTAGCATTTTGGGACCCCTATTATTTAATATTTTTATCAACGATATTGTACGTATTGACAGCTCTGTAGAACATGTAATCTACGCGGACGATACTAGTATATTTTTTTCTGGGGAAACGGCTGGTGAGCTCATTGTTTCTGCTAACGAAATACTAAATAAAATATACGCCTGGACTGTGGCAAATTCTGTACACTTAATTGCTCTAAAAGCAAGGCTGTACTGTTTCGTGTGAAAGCCAGGTCATTTAAAACGTCTCACAAGCTAATACTTAATAACGTTGAAACTAAACTTTGCCAAACAGTTAAAACTCTCGGTGTACATTTTCCCGAACATATGGCATGGATTCACCATGTAGAACACATTAGTCACAAACTTTGTAAAGTTCTAGGTGTGTTGCGTCGATGCCAGAACATACTACCTGTGAAACAAAAAATATTAGTGTACAATGCTCTTTTTTCTTCACATTTACACTATTGTCTTCCGGTGTGGTCTACAGGCTCTAAAGCATCTCTAAAGAACCTGGTCGTGTTACAAAAAAATGGCTTGCGGTGCATTGAAGGTGTATCCTATAACGCACACACTGCTTCAATATTTACAAAATATAGAATTGTAAAAATTACCTGTTATTACGAATAACAGGTTCTGTCAGCTTTTAAATCAGAAAAACGCAGAGGAAGTATCTTTTTACGCACCTTGGCCACCTTGCAACCAAATCCTGCCAGTCTCGTTACTCGCTGTACGGAGATTTGGCACGTACCTTGTCCTCGCACAAACTATGGATTTTAAACACTAGGTTACCGCCTTCCAAGTGTGATGAACAAATGAAAACTAACAACTGATAATCTGCGTATAATGTCTAAAACTGAAACTTCAAATCGGATGTGGTGATTGTGTTGTAAATGAATGTTGGGTGATTTCTGTAATGGTTATTCAATTTTTATTCTTTCATGCATTTGCTTTGTTATGAATATTTTTGTATGTATTTTAGAGTTGTGATTCTATTATTTGCTGTCATGAGCCACATCCGTGTTTCTTTTTTGTATTGTCGCTTTCCGCTGCCTGTATTGTTTATAATTTTTTGTAAATTTGTCGTTTAGTTTTTTTTCTGGGTGAAGGGGCCAGTCATGCTGTGAAATGCTGCTTTTTTCCCTTCGCACCAAACCACGTATACATTGCATTTTCGTGTACTTGTCACGTGGTTGAATAAACTCAAACTCAAACTCAAACTCAAATTCCTTAGGACCTTCGAGGCCCTGCCGAACTTTTTCTATGATGCCGATCTCTCTACGCGCCTCAAACAAGGCCCAGACTCACGTGTATGTGAGTGTTGTTACTGTTTACATTCACGGCCCCGCCGCTCCCTCTGACTCTCATCACGTGGTGTTCTCAGTCCCCACCCCGTGCCGGCTTGCCCGAATGCTTTCCATTTCGCGGCGGCAGCGCGCGCCCGCACGTGCGCGACAGCGTTGAATGCCTTCTTCCTTCACCCATTCTGTTATCCTTCTTCCTTCACTCATCTTCCCCATCTCCCACGCGGAACTGTGAAGGTGCCTTCGTATTGGAAGACAGTAAGAGTTACGCGCTTTTTTCTTCATTTATTCCCTTCAAGAACCTCTATGTAACGAAGCTAAAACAATGAAACACGAGAGGACATCAAGATGTTGATGTTGTTCTCACAAAACAATCTTCTTGTTTTGCTGCGTTCTCGCCACTTTAGGTTGTTTTTGTCATCTTCATCTCTTCAAGGAATGTTCGTGAATTTGCCTGCGGACGTGCACGCACGCGCGTGTTCGCAGGTGCGCGTATGTGTGTATGTCGTATGCATGCGATGTGTAGCCAAAATATAAAATAGAAGACTGCTTTACAGCTATGACAAATCAAAGCACCATCAGATTTTCGTTCACTTTTGCGTAGAGGTATACTTTTCAGTGAAGTTCAAGCTGATTTGAAGACTATTTATTAAAGTGGTTTTGATATTTTCACGAAATTGTTTCCCACTACGTTATGGCTAAGAAAAAGCTTCCCTCCCCATATTAGACAAACATCTGACTAGGGCACTCACATATGTGCAAACTCATTCGTATCATACTCTTCTGGGCCCTAATAGGCTAGAATTTGACCACTAAGAGTCGGATGAGACTGTTTTCACAACAAATCTGTGCAGGGCGTGGCCTCGCCTCCATCACGTAAGCACCAACATCAGGCTCGTGACGAGCGTGCTGGCGATGAGGTGGTCACTATTTTGTTTTTTGTTTTTCTCTTTTTCTCGCTTTCGAGCACAGTTCGTTTGGTTCGTTCGTGGCGTGTGCTGGAAGTGGGCACTTTCCTGCTGGGTTCGTGCTTGCGTGTAGCGTGCGTTATCTCTTTCGCTTGTCGACGGAGTTGCAATAAGATGATGTACGAGCCTTTAGACGGGCAGAATGTGATCGAAAAGTGCCTCGAACAGTTACACCATCATGAAGAAGGCTACTACCACGGCTACCTGAAGTCAGACGATGGAATTGAGCTTTTTGAGAGGTCATTACTGCCGTCAACGAGAGGTATACTGTGCGGCCATCAAGAGACCTGACCAAGTCGCCCAAATGTAAGGATATATCGATTGCTTTTTTATGTATCTCTGTACGCTTTGATTTAGCATTTTAAAGCGCAGTAGTAATTTCAACTCGGCAGAACAAGTTTTCAGTAAGGTTAGTGCAACTTTAGAGAAATTATTTCGCGTTCTGGAAGATGGAGTTATCATTGTTCGGATTACCCATTGAGAGTATTCCTTGCACCTAATCATTTCAATTCGAGTGGAGCGTTGTACAGGTGACCGGGCCATGACACCAAGCGCAACAATCATGATAAACGTATTTGGAACTTGCCTGCTATTTCTTGGTTTCAGACGTAATTATATACGTACATGCAAGATATTCAGCACTTTAAAGAAACTAACGAGTCTACCCTGTGATGTTTATATAAACGCTTTAAGTTCCAGAAAAAGCCGCGCATAGTCGTTTGTTTTGTATGCACTTATGCTTTTTTTTTTCTTTGCACATGGAAAAAGCAATCGCGCGCAACACGAGACACTATGAGCAGTTGGGCTCAACTCCGTCGGGCCATGCTCGTGTGCGCCATCCGTCGTCCTACTAAAAGTCTGAATTAGGCGTCGACAGTGAGGCATAGTCCTGACGGTGAACTCTGTACATGAGACGCTGATGCACGTGTAACCGGCAAGTTTTTTGTCGTGTAATAAAGTTTCAAGGCACCGCCAAACATTAGCATGTCGGTGCTGCTTTGAAGATTTTGAGTTCTAAAACCACACAACAAAGTCACCGTGATTTGCAAATATAATTATAATTATTTTCGTTAGGTAGAGGCATAATTTCTTGTCGGAAGTAGATCATTTTATAAATCTTTGTTTGCTACTATTACACAAAACTAGATTGGATATTGCCCTCCGCCACGCATAAAAGCGACAACAGTCAATAAATCACATTTATTGTTTTTTAGCAGCCAATGTCGTCTTCTTCATGACTCAGTCCGGGCGTAGAATCTCATTCCCTAACGCCAATCTTCGCAAGGACTCACACTTTTCGCTGCTCCTTTTTCCCATAAACAATCGCTGATTCGAATAAACTAACGGAAGCATTCCCCGATCGCCTATGACCATTTGTGCGGATGCTGTTTTTTTGTTGCTTCCTTGTGGTTGCATCACGCAAAGTTTTTTCGTCGTGCGGCCAAAATTGTATTGTAAAGGCCACTTTGCAACTTTGTTTTCTGTTATCGGTATGTATTTATGCTCGCCCTGCTTGAAAATTTTGTCCGCAGTATATTTGAATAAATAAATAAATAGATAAAAGAAAATAAACAATATATATATATATAAATATATATATAAATATATATATATATATATATATATATATAAATATATATATATATATATATATATATATATATATATATATATATATATATATATATATATATATGTATATATATATATATGTACTCGCATGAAACAGCCGTCACGTCGGGTTTACGTCGGTTATGGGTATGTGTCATCCGCTGAAATTAATAATGTAGCAGTGTCCAGGGCTACCTTCTTCGCAAGCACCAGCGCTTTACATCATCTTATCGGTTTTGGTGTTGCTGATATTTATGTTCCTGTTGGCAACGTTGCGCAAACTCAAACAACTAGTTATAAAAACATCTGTGACTGTTCAACATATGTGTGACCGTGGAACATTTCTACATGTAAGTTGAGTCATACCATAACATGGAGCTCAACAAAAAATACATGTTTACCTTCTTTATGCATGCTTCGCATAATGTGGATTCCCAAGGCGCGTGGAATCTGCTGAATTTGATTGAAATCCTCTTCGTTAAGTATGAAAATCAGGGCTTTACTTGTCATTTTGATAATTCTCTATACATTATGTAAACAGAAAAATATGCTTCTTAATGATGCTAACTGATGAGTTTATTCACATGAATGTTCTCTTGCCATGCTTTTCCACTTGATCATTCTTCCTCTTCATAATGATCACACGGGTCGTGCGATTCCGTCAAGTCAGACATTAGGGCGGTGCACACCGACTCCAGTTTCTTATTGCACTGAGTAGTTGTGTCCACAGTCCTGCTCGATAATCCCAATAACAAGCACTTTTGCTTTCCTGGAAGCAAGTGGGAGACTTGCAATAACATGGCTAAGTAAACAGTTCTCAATTTAACAAATTGACAACACCTCTAAAGACCAAAAAGCTTCTACTACGAGCATCATTATTGCACATAGCAGAAGACATCCTTATTTGAAACATATTTTAGACAATCAAGTGGTAAGCCATTCTTGTCGTAGACATGTTTTGCATCTGACATGCATCTATCTCGGTGCGCCTCAAACCCTTTCTATTCAGATGCAGATTCGTGCTTCAAGGTACATAGATCGACATATAAAAAATTGGTGCCGTATCTACTTGTTACACTGCAAATGTCACCGACAGATAGCCTTGCATCTGGAGAGACTGAACAAAACGTTTATTTGATGTTCTGTGCAAGACAATCGGTGAATGGTATTCTGGAGGCGCTGCGTCAGACTGCCTCGAGCGTTCAGCGGAGGCGAACGAGCGCATCGAGTCACGTCTCTTGTGAGGCTTTAGCGCTATCTGGCAGTTATCTTGGAAAACAGAGCGCGCGGCGTGCGCGCCCATCTTGGATGTGATAAGGTGTAGAACGCAAGACAACGGGTAAGTGCCGCCACTGTGTCGCCTTAGGAAAACGTTGGAAACACTTGCCTGTTCGGGCGAGCATTGCATTATCGGTGCAGCCTGATAAACGCTACGGTCCTTAAATTACTTATGTATGCCTTTGATTGATATGTGGGGTTTAACGTCCCAAAACCACTATATGATTATGAAAGACGCCGTAGTGGAGGACTCCGGAAATTTAGACCACCTGGGGTTCTTTAACGTGCACCCAAATCTGAGCACACGGGCCTACAACATTTCCGCCTCCATCGGAACTTATGTATGCCTTTTCTATTATAAAGTCACACATACAGTTTACTGACGTGTTGTTATGGTGCCTCTGATATGCGCAATATTTGCTTTTTAATTGACAATCGCACAAGTAGAAATGCAAAACCTTGAGCAATATTGATGGACGCTTCGGATAGGATCCACCGTTTGGGATATTGTTAGGTGTTGTTTGAGGGACCGTTAAAAGTGCACAGACAGACAGCCAGACAGACAGACAAACCAAAATTTTTGTGTTGAAAGCCCCAACAAAGACCATCGTCTTAAATAATGGAAAACTGACAAAGGAATGCACGAATATGTGGTTACCATGAATGACAGGTTTTGATATGAAAATAACGTATTTATTGGGCAGCTCATGGCACCGCTGCTATACAGAAATTACAGCACATTGCCAACCTATAAGGGACTGAATTGTGAGCAATACGTAGATGTATGCCATTGAGTGCGGCGGACAATTGACAAACATGTGGCTTAAATCAGTCTGTTACCTCGTGCAGGTGCTTGCTCATGGCCTGTTCGGATCAATGTTTCTGCAACTACCGAAGCGTAAAGAAATCGATCAGCCATATCTGCCGGACTTCGCCACGTGCACTTAATCCGCAACTATGTCACCGATGTGGCGTCACTGCTGAATGGACGACTCACCTTCGCTGTTTTGGGACGCGCCACTTGGGGCACCAGTTCTGTTCGACTCAACGTCTATGCACCGGTCAAGAAAAGAGCAGCTTCAGGTCTACGCCTTTTGTGGGCGCGGCGGACCATTGGCGAACATGTGGCATAAACGGTTCTGCTACCTCGTGCAAGTAAGTAGCTAGTATAGCATCATTAGGTGAAATTGTCGCACTCTTTTTGTTTTGCCCTACTCCGAACATTGTGCTTCTATTGCTTATTTGCATACTGTGCATATTTGTTGCTGTTGTAAGGTGATGTCGAAACAAATCCCGGCCCCACAACCAGGGATAGTGCTTCTGTCAAGTCGAATTTGAAGCAGCTACTTTCTGGCCAGAAAAAGGTAAAAGCGTATGTATTTGCACTCAGAGAACAACAGAATAGCATGGAAAAGTTATCGCTAATTGGAGAGCCAGATTCAATGAATAGGAAAGGCGAGCCTCGCGTGTTGATGATTTTGAACGTACTATAAAATTCTTCGAGACGAAGTTGACTGATCTAGAGGATAAGAGCAGGCCATCCAATTTAGTACTCTTTGGTATACCTGAGGATGTCGGCGGAATTGACGCTATTCCAAAAAAATAAGGTTGTTTAAGATGTCTTCTCCAGGAAGCTTTCTGCACATCTCAAATCTGTTGGCAGTGCTCATCGCGTCGGTAAAGTAGGTAGCATGAGACCAGTCATCATTTACTTCCAGCATTTCACTGAAAAACAGCTTATCCTATAAAAATGCTCATAAATCAAAGGGTATTCAAATATTAGTACAGAACGATTAATCGCGCAATACGCTAAGAAAACGCAAACTTCAGTGGGATATCGCTAAAAAAGAGAGAGCAATGCAAGATAGTTAGCCTATTTAACGATAAGCTGCGTCTTAACAATGAAGTTTTCACATGCGATGAAAGCAATAATTTGAGGATAAAAATAGACGGTCGTCGAAATAAGTCCAGAAGCACTTGACTTTCTTCGGTTCAGGGCTCCCCTGATTCTAAAGAACTTTGAGTTTTAAACATCAATGCCCGCAGTGTCGTTAATAAATCGAGAGGTGTCGAGGCTACTATGTGGTTGTTTTAACGGAACATGCTTGCACGATAATATATAGGATACGGTTGTGTTTCCCCCGTCGTATAACGCCTCTCGCCATGACAGAAACACGAGGGGTGGCGAGTGGCCATTTTTCAAAAAAAAAAAACTATAGCCGCTATTACATTACCACAAGCTTATATTTTCAAAACCGTTTCAGGGAAGTTTTTAGCCATGTCACGCAGTTTATTCACGTACAGACCGACTGGAAGGCCGAGGAACGCCAGAAGAGCGAGGAACGCCAACAGGCCGAAAATACAAAAACAAACGCAAGCTCGGGTCGCGCGTGCACCAACGCTGTGGCTTGCCGTTTCATGCTGCTTCGTCGTCGTTCGCATAGTTCCCTACATTGGCCCCCGGTGAATAGCGTAGCCAACCTGGCGACTTAAGGCGTAGTCACTATAGCGGGGTCGTAATACGGCTTCAGGCGACTCACATGCACAATTTCTCGGCCACGATGGCGTAAGTCATGAGACTGTGTCAATGGCTCAATCTCATAATTGACGGGTGACGTACGGGCGAGAATGCGGTAGGGCCCGTGGTATCGTGACAGTAATTTCGACGAAAGGCCAGGAGTGCTCGGTGGAACCCAGAGCCAAACGAGAGCACCAGTCGTGAAAGTAGAGAGATGTCGGCCGGTGTCAAGCCGTAGCTTCTGGTGGCCTTGGTCCTCGGTTGTCAGAGAACGGGCCAATCGTCTGCAATCTTCTGCGTACCTGGCAACATCAGAAATTGCAGTGTACTCAGAGGAGTCGGGCGTGTATGGGAGGATAGTGTCCAGCGTGCACGATGGTTCGCGTCCGTACAACAGAAAGAAAGGGGAGAATCCTGTTGTCACGTGCGTAGCGGTGTTATACGCATACGTGACGAATGGAAGGACAGTGTCCCAATTAGTCTGGTCTGAAGCTGTGTACATCGTCAACATATCACCGAGAGTGCGATTAAATCGTTCTGTGAGGCCATTCGTCTGCGGGTGATATGCTGTCGTCAGGCGATGAACCATCTTGCACTGAGCGAGCAACGCTTGAATGGCGTCAGACAAGAAAACACGCCCCCGGTCGCTCAAAAGTTCGCGGGGAGCACCATGGCGAAGAACAAAGTTGCGCAAGATGAAAAACGCAACTTCCCTCGCGGTTGCTGCGGGTAGTGCTGCTGTCTCCGCGTAACGCGTGAGGTGGTCCACGCCGACAATTATCCACCTATTTCCAGAAGACGACGTGGGAAGTGGTCCGTATAAGTCGATACCGACGCGGTCAAACGGACGCGCTGGACAAGGCAGAGGCTGAAGTGTACCGGTAGGGCGTTGAGGTGGGATTTTACGTCGCTGGCATGCAGTACAAGCACGTACGTACTTGCGGACAAATGTGTACATGCCACGCCAGTAGTACCGCTGACGTAGACGGTTGTACGTTTTGAGAGCGCCAGCGTGAGCGCTTTGCGGGTCGTTATGGAAAGCAGTACAGATTTCCGAGCGCATGTGGTTGGGTATCACTAACAGCCACTTCCTACTTTCAGACGTGTAATTCCGTCGATAGAGTAGGTCGTCTCGAATAGCGAAATGTGTGGCTTGACGGCGGATAGTTCTTGACACTAGATTAGCTAACGGATCAGTCAAAAAGGCGAGGAGTTTGGAAATCCACACATCTTTGCGTTGTTCCGATGCCATGTCTGTGAAGTCGATTGGTGTTATGACAGCTGAAGAAGGTGACGAGGAGGCTGGGTCAGCCGGTAGCGGCGAGCGGGATAGCGCATCAGCGTCGGAGTGCTTGCGGCCGGATCGGTATACAACACGAATGTCGTATTCCTGTAGTCGAAGCGCCCAACGACCAAGGCGCCCCGACGGGTCTTTGAGCGATGATAGCCAGCATAGAGCGTGGTGGTCCGTAACGACTTCGAAAGGGCGGCCATAAAGGTATGGGCGGAACTTCGTCAAAGCCCAGACAATTGCGAGGCACTCTTTCTCCGTGACGGAATAATTACACTCGGCTTTCTTGAGGGTTCGACTCGCGTAAGCGACCACGTATTCTTGGTGCCCTGGTTTTCGTTGAGCCAATACAGCACCAAGACCGACACCACTGGCGTCGGTGTGGACCTCCGTAGGCGCATCAGGGTCAAAATGTCGTAGAATTGGAGGTGATAATAATAACCGCCGAAGCGCGGTAAAGGATTCGTCGCACTCTTTTGACCAAGCAGAAATGCCTTTGGAAGTTGTCAACAGGTTGGTAAGAGGCGCGATGATGGAAGAGAAGTTGCGCACAAATCGACGAAAGTATGAGCACAGGCCGATAAAACTTCGAAGCGTCTTGATGGAATTGGGCTTCGGATAGTCGGCCACGGCGCGGAGTTTCGCCGGATCCGGGAGAACACCCTCTTTGCAGACGACGTGA